CGACAGCTACGCAAGCAAGAAAGACACAACGACCAACTTCATTCCACAAAGTCAGTCAGCCGGGGAGGGGGAGGAGAAGACAGTCAGTTAGCTCCGGTCTCTTGTTTCTATTCCATTGCAATGGGTGTGTTTGTGGGTGTGCAGGTGCCACGCTTGATTCAGACAAGTGAGTCAGTCAATGCAGTAAAAGGCGCAGGCAGCAATGAGGCCACCCTTATGGACGGCTGACCCCTTGGGTCGTGCGCCTGTCTGGATGTACATCACTGTCTGTCTGTCTGTCTGGTGCGTTGCCCGGTCAGGTTCAGGGAGTTCCACAAGCGGACCAAGCTCGACTCGGGTGAGTGAGCGCCTCAGACACCCACCGCACACAACACAACACAACACAACACAACAGCCACCACACACTGCCGGACACAGTACAGTCGAGTGTCTTGTCTTCCACTGATCGACTCACTGCCTGTCCCTCCCTCCCTCCCTACCTCCGGCCGTCCTGGGGGTACGTGTGTGTGTGTATGTGTGTGTCAGGTGAGAAGGTGCTGTCTCATGACCTGCCGGCCGGCTACCAGGTCAGTCAGACTCGCACAAGACAACACACGCGCTGGCCGCCCTCGGGCTCCTTCCTGATCCCCTCAACCATCCATCGATCTTTGTTGCCGTGTGTCGCTGTGGTGCCTCCCTCTCTCCCTCTTTGACACTGTCTGTCTTTCCGTCTGGCTGTGCTGTGTTTGTGCAGCACTACACGACTCCGTTGGGCCACACGTGGCGCTACGCGCCGCCGATCATCCCGGCGGCCCGCAAGAGCAACTACGAGAGCATCCTGCCCAAGTACCAAAAGGGCGCGCGGGGCGGGGGAGGCGGACTCGAGACGGGATCACTCTTCTGATGCCATCCATATCTCTCGAAGTGTGTGTATCGATATGTGTGCGCATCTGTGCACGAGCCTGCCACGAGGGGCGCCTGCACACACATGGCTTCCTGTGAGAAAGCCTCAGTGGCGTATTGCTGCTGTGTTGGTTGCTCATGCATGATTGCATCATGTGTCTATCCATCGGCCGACCGAGTCATCCATCCATCCATCCATCATGCAATCAATCAGCCATATGAACACGCGTCACGGAAACAGACATGGATGGACCGGTCGTCCATGCCATCCATGTAAGAAGCAGTACGTATGCACACGTGCGGCCAGCCAAGCGCACCGCAGCCCAGCCCAGCCAGCCAGGCGCCTCTCACGTCTGACCAGACAGACAGGAGGGACACACTGGATGAATGCATGCGCGTGAGTGCTCTCGTCAAGGTTCTGGGTACCTAACCTCTTGTCTGTTGGTGAAGAACTGATGTATTTCCTGCATCCTGCGGCGCTCGCCGGCCAGCTCCGTCTCGAGCCTGTCTACCTTGGCATGCAGCTCCTGCATGGCCTCGTCTTTGCCCTGGCATTCACTCTCCAAGTCACGCACTCGCGCACACAGGGCGTCGCACTCACTGAGCGACACACACGACCCATGGATGGATCCACAGACACACACACACATACCGTTTTGTTTGCACGAGTCGTCCTTTGACGGCGGCAGCCTCCTCGGTGGCGGTGTGGGCCTCCTTGTGCTTCAGGGCCACCTGCTGCCGCAGCGCACTCTGCTGGTACTCACACTCCTGCACAACACAACCAAGTCAGTCAATGGCGGCCAAGAGAGGGACACATATCAATACGTGTCTGTATAGGTATGTCGTGTACGTCAGTCAGTCATGCCGCCCTCACCGCCAGCATGCCTTCCAGCCGTATCTTGTCCTGCAGCGCCTGACGACCCCCGGCGGCTGCACGCAAGCAACAAACACACACACACACATAGGTGGAGACGAAGGAAGGAAGGAGAAGCCCGCATGAGTGAACTAGTGAATGAATGATGCCCGTAGGTACTTGCTCTCGAGTTGTCCTTGATCTCCTGCTCGAGGCTCTCATTTCTCTCTAACAGACGCTGGTGCTCGCGGGCTATCATCATCAGACGCCTGCAACCATCCCACCCACGTAAGACGTGAAGCCTTCTTCCATCCAGTGTGTGCGAGTGTGCTCACTTGTATGTCTTGTCCCTCTCCTGCACATGGTCCTGAAGTGCGTCTGCACGCACACACAGACAAGGCAAAAAGGCATAGTAATCTGGGTGTGTGTGTGCAGACGGTTCATTTACTGTTGGTTCGCTCCAGTTTGACCTACATCAAACAACGCACACACACCGGATGGCGTCCCGTCCGGATGCGTAGCACACTGCGTACATACATACCTTCATTTCGCCCTGTTCCTTGAGGGCCGTCTCCACCCTCTGCAGGGCCTCAACACGCTCATGGCTAGACACCTTCAACCTGACAGACAACCACAACAACACACACGCAATTACTGTACGGAGCCACCCCACCCCACCCCCCACCCCCCACC